TGATGGCCGCGGAGCAGTCTGAGCCCAAAACCATTTCACCAAAGGATGCATTGCTTGATTATAACGAGTCACCAGAGGATGCGAACATGCCACTTTTTCCACCTCAGACTGATGCCCCGCAGTACCATGTTCCGGCCATGGGAAACTCTACTGCTTTCCAACCAAACACCGGCTTTCCGCAAATGGAACAATTCCCGAACCAATATGCTCATACCAAAAACCATATTCCTCAACAATTTGGATACATGCAGGAGCAGGTCCCTATTCAACTAGCGGGCCCACAGAAGCAACAGCAGCAGGCACCTCGCCAGGTGCAGCAGCCTCATATCCAAAGGGACTGCAATCTAGTCCAGCGTACTCCTGAATTCCCTCCTCATGTTCCATCTATGGAATCTACTTCCAGTGATACGAACACTCCAGCGGGGAGCAGGTCGCCTCTGGTTGGAGGGCTTGGACAAAGAGCCCCAACTTCCCATCCTACAGAAGCCGCCAGACGACCCGAAGACACTTCCTCCGATGGAGGAACATACAGCTGCACATACCACGGATGTACCCTTCGTTTTGAGACACCTGCCAAGCTCCAGAAACATAAGCGGGAAGCCCATAGACAAACTACACCCGGTTCACATGCAATGGCACGAGATTCATCTGCTGGATCTCTGGCTATGCGCAACTCCCAAGCTGGCCCTCATAAATGCGAGCGCATCAATCCATCTACAGGCAAACCATGCAACTCTATCTTCTCACGCCCTTACGATCTTACGAGACACGAAGACACGATCCATAACGCTCGTAAGCAGAAGGTTCGGTGTCATTTGTGCACGGAGGAGAAGACGTTTTCTCGTAACGATGCTCTTACGAGACATATGCGGGTTGTTCATCCTCAGGTTGATTGGCCGGGCAAGCAGAGGCGGAAGGGATTAAAATTGGAGTGAAAATCACTCCCACTACTACTCTTTATTCACCCTCAAACCTTTTCCACTCATTCCCTTCATTTTGCCTAATATCCATCCAACTTGCCGACTGTTTGTCCTCCTGAGCACGTGTCTTAGCATGGATGCGACTTTGGAATCACGAATTCATCGAAAGGGCCCAGAACCAAGCCTCGAAGCCTTCCAGAAAACTTGGCACGGCCACCCAAAATATCCTCTGACTAAGCCACGATGACGGCATACCGCTACCAAGAGATGACATGTGCCAAGCGAGCAAAATTTTCAGTTAAATTTGCGCTAATTCCAAGTTTGGTTGGCACGTGCTCTTGGATCCGCTTGATCGGCGTTAAGGTTTACCCTTTCCGACTTTCATAAGCTTTTTTGGGTTTCGTTTACTGCCAAATTCTCATCAGTGACGTCATTTGAAATTTTCTGTCCTTTAAAGTTTAATGCCCGGAGTGGTAATTTGTTCCAACTGTGACAAGGGCACAGCCCTAACGAGTCATTCTTGGCTTGCAGAATTTATTTTCTTTTGCCTTTTTTATCCTCCCTTCCCACCCCCC